CAGAGCAATAAAAAATAAAGCAAACTATTGATACACATGCCAACATGAATGAATCTCGAATGAGCATGCCAAGTGAAGAAAACCAGACACAAAGGAGTGCATACTACACACTTCCATTCACATGAACAAAACACAGAATGCAAATTACCCTATAGTGAGAAAAGCAAATCAGTGGTTGCCTCATCCAGTGGGAAAGGAAGAAATAGGCTAAAGCGCACAGGCATCTTTCAGGGGTGATGTGCACATTCTGTATCTTGACTGTGGTGGCAGTTTCACAGGCACAGGTCTACCTCTCTCAAAACACACAGATGCTGGGTTTTGTTTTTTAAAAAGATGCTATTAGGAAAGATTGAAGAGAATAGCAAAACTTTCCTATAGACAATGAAAACTCATTAGGAAAATGTTGTCTTTACCAAACAGATGAAAATTATAACCAGACATTCCACCCTGTATCTAACAACTCAAACCCTGCAATTTCAGCTAAGGAGGAAGAACAGAGCTACCCCACACCACTAAAAGCACCAGGCCCAAACGGTTTCACAGAAAAATCCCACCAAATATTTAAAGAGCAAATATTACCAGAGCACCTAAAAAGAAGGAAAATGTTCCAATTATTTTTATGAAGTAAAAATAAAATTGACACCAAAACCTAAAAAGCGCTTCACCAATACGCAATTTCAGCTAAGGAGGAAGAACAGAGCTACCCCACACCACTAAAAGCACCAGGCCCAAACGGTTTCACAGAAGAATCCCACCAAATATTTAAAGAGCAAATATTACCAGAGCACATAAAAAGAAGGAAAATGTTCCAATTATTTTTATGAAGTAAAAATAAAATTGACACCAAAACCTAAAAAGCGCTTCACCAATACCACAAATGAACAAAAATAGGAAAATTAGACTATTAAAATCAAAAACTTTGTTTCAAAGGATTACCAAAAAAGTGAAAAGACAACCCACAGAATGGGAAAAAAGTTTTGAAATCATATATCTGAAAAGGAACTTGTATCCAGAATATATGCATAAAGAACTTTTACAATGCAATAATAAAAAATGGGCAAAAGATCTGAATAGACATTTCCCCAAAGACAGACAAATAGCAAAGATACTCAACACCATTAGTCATTAAAGAAATGCAAATCAAAACCACAGTGAGATAGCATTTCACGCCCTCTAGGATGGCTATAATCTATAATCAAAAAGAGTGAATAACAAATGTTGGCAAGGATGTGGAGAAACTGGAACCCTCGTACACCACTGGTGGGAACGTAAAATGGTACAGCTGCTTTGAAAAACAGCTTGGCAATTCCTCAAACTGTTGAACAGAGTTACCATATATGACCCAATGATTCCACTTTTAGGTATATATGCAATAGAAATAAAAACATATGTCTGCACAAAAACTATATACTATGTTAGTCTGCTCATGCTGCCATAATAAAGTACCACAGACTGGGTGGCTTCAACAACAGACATTTATTTTCTCACAGTTCTGGAGGCTGGAAGTCTCTGATCAAGGTGCCAGCAAATTCAGTTTCTGGTAAGGGCTCTCTTCCTGGCTTGCAGAAACCTGCCTTCTTACTATGTTCTCACAAGGCCTTTCCTCTGTGAGTGTGCAGAGTGAGAGCGCTCTGGTGTTTCTTCCTCTTCTCATAAGGACATCAGTCCTGTCAAGTTAGGGCCCCACACTCATTTAACCTTAATTATCTACTTAAATGCCCTACCTCCAAATACAGTCACATTGGGGCTTAGGGCTTCAACATATGAATTTGGCAGGACACAATTCAATTTGTAACATACATGAATGTCTTGTTTTGCTTTGTTTTGTGTTTTGACCAGTAAGGGGATCGCAACCCTCGGCACGGTGTTGTACAACCCTCAGCACGGTGTTGTCAGCACCACGCTCAGCCAGTGAGCACACCGGCCATCCCTATGTAGGATCCGAACCCACGACCTTGGCGCTACCAGCACCGCACTCTCCCGAGTGAGCCATGGGGCTGGCCCCAGACGTGAATGTTCATAGCGGCATAATTCAGAATAGCCAAAAAGTAGAACAACCCAAATATCTATCATCTGATGAACAGATAAATAAAACGTAGTATAGCCATAAAATAGAATATTATTGAGCTATAAAAGGAACAAAATACTGATACATATTACAAAATGGATGAACTTTGAAAACATTATGCTAAGTAAAAGAAACTTGTCACAATACATCACATATTATATAAATTCATTTCTATGAAATGTCCAGAATAGGCAAATCCATAGAGAGAGAGAGAGAGTAGATGTGATTGCCAGGGCTGGGGGAAGGACTATGGAGTGGCTTCTAATGGATATAGGGCTTACTTCCGAGGTGATAAAAATGTTCTAAAATTAGACAGTGGTGATGGTTACATAGTTCTGTGAATATACTAAAAACCATTGAATTTTACATTTATAAAGGGAAAATTTTAAGGCATGTGAATTATATCTCAATAGAGCTTTTTTAAATGTCCATTGGAGAGGACTGACTGACATAACAGATTAAATGGAAGAGAGAGTGAGGGAGAGAGATTTTTAAAGTTTTAAAAGAATAGAAATCAATAAACTAAACTAAACTAGAAATCAATAACAGAAAGCTGGAAAATTTGGAGATTAAACACACTTCTAAATAACATATGAGCCAAAGAAGTTTCAAGAGAAACTAAAAACTATTTTGAACTAAAAATAATGAAAACATAACTTATCAAAATTTATGGGACGCAGCAAAATCATTCCACAAAAGCATTTGGGCTTAGAGGAAATTTTATAGCATTATATGCATATATTAGAAAAGAAGATCTAGAGGGCTGGCCAATTAGCTCACTTGATTAGAGCTCACTTGTTGATACCACCAAGGTCAAGGGTTCAGATCCCCTTACTGGCCAGCCGCCAAAACAAAATAAAAAACAAAAAGAAAAGAAGATCTAAAATCAATAATCTGAGCTTCCACTTCAAGAAACTAGAGAAAGAAGAGCAAATTAAGCCTAAAGCAAGCAGAAGGGAAGAAGTAATAAAAATTAGAGTACAAATCAATGAAAATGAAAAGAGGAAAATATCTTAGTCTGTTTACCACAGACTGGATAATTTATAAAGAAAAAAGTTTTATTCAGCTCATGGTTCTGGAGGCTGGAAAGTCTATGAGCATGGTGGCAGCATCTGGTGAGGGCCTTCTTGTTGCATCATCACATGGAAGAAGACAGGAGGGCAAGAAAGGGCAAGAGCACACCAGCTCAGGTCTCTCTTCCTCTTCTTATAAGGCCACCAGTCCCATCATGGGGGCACCACCTGATGACCTTATCTAATCCTGATTACCTCCTAAAAGCCCCAACTCCAAATACCATCACCACATGAATTCGGGGATTAAGTTTCCAACACATGAAATTTGACACATTCAAACCATAACAGAAAACAACAGAGAAAAATCAAAACCATAAGTTGATTCTTTGAAAGGATCAATACAATTGATAAACCTCAAGCCAGGCTAACCAAGAACAAAAAAAGAAGAAACAAATTACCAATATCAGAAATGAAAGACAGGTCATCACTATTGATCCCATTGGACATCAAAAGGCTGATAAAAGAATATTATGAACAACCCTATGGCCACAAACTTGGTAACTTAGACAAAATGGAGCAATTCCTTAAAAGACACAAACTACCAAAGCTCAAACATACAAGGCCTGCAGTGATACAAAATATGAAAGCAAGAGGGCTTCCAACCTCAGCTTGAAGGGGCCACGTTAGCTGGAGGGAAAGAGATGGCAAGGCGATGTGAGGAGCAATGAGGGAAGCATGAAGGGTCGGCAGGGAAGGCTTCGAAGAGGAAGTGATGTCTAAAAGAGACAGGGAAGGACACTGCCACCAGGACCTCACAGAGCTACCTCAAAATCACTAAGTCCATAACTGTTATGGACTGAATTGTCCCCCCAAAATTCAAGTGTTGAAGTTCCAACCCCCAGGACCTCAGAATGTGACTGTATTTGGAGATAGGGCCTTTAAAAAGATAATTAAGTTAAACTGCAGTCATTAGGGTGAGCCCTAATCCAGCATGACTGATGTTCCTGCAAGAAGAAGAGATCAGGACACAGACATCCAGACACCAGGGAGCTCCTGCACAGAACACCACCACGTGAAGAGGCAGTCATCTGCAAACCAAGGACAGAGGCTTCAGAGGAAACCGACTCTTCCAGCACTTTGATCATGGACTTCCAGCCTTCAGAACTATAAGAAAATAATTAAACAGAAAATAAAATTCTGTTGTTGAAGCCACCCAGTATGTGCTATTTTGTTATGGCAGCCCCAGCAGACTGATATAACAGCTAAACTCATGATCTTTCTCTCCAAAACTAATTATTTTCCACAGGTCCAACCATCCACCCTGAAGTCCAGAGAGTAACCTCACCATCACACCTCACATTCAATTCTGTACCAAGACCTATCAGTTTTACCACCCAGCTCTCTCTTATCCATCATTTCTTATCTGAATGACCTACAAAAACTTCTCCAACAGTCTCGCTACATCCATTGCAGCCACTCTCCATTTGCTCCCCTACTGCACCCAAGGAGGTCTTTTCAAAACACAAATACAGCAGTGTTACACCTCACTCCTATCCCTTATGACCCTTCAGTGGCTGACAATAGCTTTTAGAATAAAGACAAACTTTATGCCATGGACTGTAGGGCTCTGCCCTGCCTCTGCCTCCCTCTCTGCTCCCCAGACACATTGGTTTTCTTCAATTCCATGAATGAACCATACTCTTTCTTGCCATGGGGACTTTGAACATACTCTTCTTCTGCCTGAAATGCTCTTTCCTCCTATATATAACCTGACTCAACTTAAGCACTGCTTCCTTAGGGACCCTCCCAGACTCCCCCTCCCAAGTCTGTGTCACATTTCTTTGTAATAAGCACTTGGAGATATAAGTTCCTTTCCTTCAGAGGCCTTCTCAGAGTTTATAAATAAATATTACTTTGTGAGATTGTCTGGTTGATGGGAAGTTCTGGAAGAGCAAGAACCATGTCTCTTTTTTGGTTCACCATCAAATCCCAGCACCCAGCATGCCTGGCACAAGGCAGGTCTCAACTGATACTTACTGCATGTATGAATGAATAAATGAATGAATGGAATTAGGAAGGAATGGGAGAGAGAGTACTCTAGGTATGGAAAAAAGATGCTGAGAGGTCTGCCAAGACCACCACTCCTGTAGTACTGTGAAGTCAGAACAGTGTGTCTGTGAATGTAAAAGGTTGGGGGAGGACCCTAAAACCAACCCTCTCCAACATACATGCATACCAGGTATACATACCCAAATTCTGGAAGGTCGCTGTCAAAATGCACACTGTCCTCATAGAAGACATTCAGCTCTGTGTCAACAGCAACAACTTTCACCTGGAAGGCATTTTGAAAATGGTTGTGTGGGTAAAAACCCACTCTCTTTCCTCTTGCTTAGCAACAATTGACACAGAAGACTGTGATCGAATGTGTAGGCATTTCTCCTCACTGGCAAGCAAGCAAGCGATCTTTCAGCAGACACCATCTGGGTGTCCTCTAATTCAATTCCAACACTATCTACCTGAAGATAATGTCAGATCCCACAGGGTGAGGGCTCAGGCCCCAAAACTGTCCCCAACTTTAGATGCCAAGCACAAGCCTAGGCCTCTGGAACTTCTGACCAACCAGCTATAAATCAGGGTTCCCACCACCCCCTCCTTGGGTTCAACTGGCTTGCTTCAGCGGCTCACAGGACTCAGGGAAACAAGTACTTTACGTTTACCAGTTTATTATAAAGGATATTAGAAAGGATAAAGATGAAGAGATGCACAGGGCGAGAGGTATGGGGAACGAGCATGGAGCTTCCATGCCCTTCCTGGGTGCACCACCCTCCAGGAACCTCCATGTGTTCAGCTATCCAGAAGCTCCCCAAACCCAGGCCTCTTGGGTTTTTATGGAGGTTTCATTACACAGGCATGATTGATTAAATCATTGGTCATGGTGATCAGCTTAACCTTCAGTCCCTCTCCCCTCTGCAGAGGTTGTGGGGTGGGACTGAAAGTCCCACCTTGGTCTTTTCTGTGACCAGCCCCCATTCTGAACCTGCCTAGGGGCTGCCAGCCATCATTAGCATCCGAGAAGACTTATCACTTTGGAGATTCTAAAGATTTTAGAAATTGTATATCAAGAGAGGGATGAAAACCAAATATATATGTTCACAATATCACAATGGTGTATAGAATTTTCCTCAGCTTCTACACTGGTCCAAGAGTACTAATATCGCCAGGTGAGGCCTAGCACCTTAGGAGAGGTTCAGCCTAGAGACCTCAAAGGCTGGGGTGCATCTTGGTAATCGTGGCAACAGAGGCCTCATCTGGGGACATACCCAGAGTTAGTAAAATGGAGAAGGCTAAGTAGAAACACCCACATATCTCAAGGAATCTTTGCCCTGCAAACAGCCAAACCAAGCCCCTCTGGAGGTAGATATTCACAGATGAGCTGGTTCCTGTGCCTGGCAAGGAGGCCTGAGGAACTCCTAGTGGGCAAGGTATGGGGGTCAAGGTTTGCAGAAGTCTCTGGGGGTCCATGTCTGCAGGATGCTGCTGCCACAGGCCAGAGACACATAATGTCCTATTGAAGTAGATCTCCAAGCTCAGGAGTATTAACTCCTTTCCTGGACAGATGAGGAAACTGAGATCTAGCATGACAACTCGACTTGTCCAGAGTCACAAAGGACTTTCTGGTCAGGGATTGGCCAGAGGCCTATTTGATGAGAGGGGTTTAATTGCAACTGTGTTTACTTTCCAAGTACTTTAAAGGAGAAGGAGGCCCTGGACACCCCATGACCAGTTTAAAGGTAAATTTTAATTCTGCTCGCCTGTCTCGAGGCCCTGGGAGCAGCACAGACCTCCTCTGGCCAGCAGACCTGGGTCCGCAGACCGGGGCACGCTGATGCCAACCGAGGGAGGTCACAGGGAGGGGCAAAGTCCATTTGTACACTGCGCCCATTTCGCTTTTAAAAGAAGGTCTCATGCGGGGATCTGGTCCAGGCCACAGGTTATGCATGTGCACAGGTCGACCCGTCTGTCGCCTCGCCTTACAGTAGCTGAGTTCCTTCGGGTCCCTGTCACTCGATGGCCAAGACAGCGCGCGAACCCGCCCAGCCCTTCGGCCCCTCTGGGCACTTCCAGCCACGCGCCCGCGGGGTCCCTCCGGGAGGCGCCCGCCGTTTCCGGGAGGGCCGGGGTCGGGGGTTGGGGGAGGGAGTGCGAGGTCGTATCTTGCGGGCGGGCGGGCGGCGCCGGAGCCCCGGGAAGCCCAAGAGTGAGGCGCGTCTGCGGTTCGGCGCAGGGTTCCCGGGCCCCGCGACGGTACCTGCTGAGTGCTGAAGTCCCAGCCCAGGCAGCAGCGGAGAGCGGCGCGCTCCGCCATGGCCCTGGAGTTGTCCCGCCGCCGCGCGTCCGTCCGTCTATCCCGCGGCGTGACTGTCGCCGCGCTCCAACGCCCAGAGACGCCGGGGCCCGCCCCTCGCCCCGCCCGGCCGGACTCTGGACCCGAGTCACGGGGCGGGCTTGCGCTCTGGCGCCGCCTGCGGTGGACGGGAGCGGGGATCGGTCCGGCCTCGGCTTCGCACCGGTGCAGTAGACGATGCTCCCATCGCAGCCTGCTGCTCTCCCGGGCCCACCCCTCCGCTCCCCCCCGTCTTCATCTGCTCCCTGCACTGGCCGTGTCCTGATGTGGCCTGGCTGCCCTCGGAGGACGCCTGGGCCAGAGGCTGCAAGTTTAACCCAGGTTGTTCCTGCCTGTCCCTCTGGTGGCTCTGGACCTGGGGTCCCCCGTGGCTGTCTCTTGGGTACTGGAATAACTGTCCACCCATGGTGGCGACTCAGGGGTCACTGGGGAATGTGGCCTGGGGTTGCAGCACTGGCTCTGACAGGCCCTGTCCAGGCCAGCCAATCTAACTGCTTCCCCCGTGTGTGGCATCCCACATTCGTATTTAAAATCAGAGCTCCTGATGCCCTCACGGAGGGGCTCGTTCATTCCTGCAGTCAGCTGGTACTGATGGTCTAATGTGTGCCAGGCATGGGGAAGGGGGACGAGAACCAAAGTCAGGGCCACTCCCTCTTCTCATGGAGCTGAGGGCACCTTCTCTTCCCTTCATTCCACCTGGATGCATCCTTCTTGTTCCTAGGACTGACTTCTTTCCGGAAGCTCTCCCCACCACCCCCTATGTGAGGCACTCCTCCTAAGAGGTTGTCAGCCCACCAGAGCCCCTCTCACACACTTGCAATGGTCTGGTTACCTGTCTCTCTTCCTTGCTGAACTTCAGCTGCTTGAAGCCCAGATGGGATCTTCCTCATTGCTGGAACAAGAAGGTGCCCAAGTACCTGTCCTCCCAGACATTTGCAGCATACATACTACGGACACAGCCCTCCAGCAGTAACCACCATGGTGACAATAGTCAAATACTGGATACCAGGTCTGGAGCAATTATGTGACCTGCTGAGCACATTTAATCCTCACAATGATGCTGGGAAGTAGATACTATTATCCCCATTTCTAAAAAGTTTTAAATTAGGGTATAAACTACAGTAGAGTTTATGAAGTACACTGCTATGGTTTGAATGTGTCCCCCAAAAGTTCATGTATTGGAAAATTGGTCCCCAATGCAGCAATGGTGACAGGTGAGTCCTTTGGGAGGTGATTGGGTCAACAGGGCTCTGCCCTCATAAGTAGATTCATCCATTCATGGATTAATGGAGTAATGGATTAATGGGTTATCAGGGGAGTGGGTTAGTTATCGCAAGAATGGATCTGCTATAAAATTCAGTTTGGCAGTCTTTTCTGAACCACCTGGGGAACTGTGCAGAGAGTTCCCACCAGCAAAAAGGCCCTCTCCATACATGACCCCTCAACCTTGGACTTTACAGGCTCAATATCTGTAAGAAATAAATTTTGTTTCTTTATAGATTATGCAATCTCAGGTATTCAGTTATAGCAACAGAAAATGGACTAAGACTTATGCTATTCTTAAGTGCTTGGTGGTTTTTAAAAAATGTGTAATATACACCCACAGAAACACCATTGAGATTGAGATATAGAACATTTCCAACACTCCAGAAGTTTCCCTAATGACCTTCCCAGTCAATAACCTGCAAGGCAATCACTATTATACAGAATGAGAAACTGAGGCATAGAGAATTAATTAATTTGGCCCAAGATCCCAAGATCTGTGGCAGAGATGCACTCAAAGACTCTGCTCCACATGTCCCTCGCCAGCAGGGTATCCTAGTCTGGTGAGAGCGGCAGAGCAGAAGAGGGCATGGGCAAGTGTGGGAGGCCTCTGAAGGCTAGGCTCAAACCTGGCACACTGCACTTCTGCCTCTGTGCCACTAGCCAGAGTAAGTCCCTATGGCCAGCCCAAAGTCAAGTGAGGGTTGAGGCCATGGCAAGGGTGTGGATGCAGGGAAGGGTGAAGAATTGGGGCCAATAGTGCAATCTACCATGGGCCACTACCAGATGGAGAGTGGGTTCCTTCTCTCAGCTAGGAGACAGGGGAGGAGAAGCAGGCCGGGGGAAGATGATGAGTTAAGTCAGGAAATGATGGGTCTGTGGTGCCTGTGGGATGTCAAAGTGGAGATGTGGAGTGGGCTATTGGATATGTGACCTCCAGGTCAGGAAAGAGGTCTGGGCTGAAAACCGTAATTTGGAAGTTATTAGCTCCCAATCGGAGTGGGTTAGATTGTACAGAAAGAGATCAGAGTAGGACAGAAGGAGATCCCAGAGGGAACTGTAAAGGACAAGTCAACAACATAGGAAGAGGCCATGAGAGAGGCATGTGGTGGAGGCCACTAGAAGAATCTTCTTGGAAGGTGGGGCTTTTGACAGCATCACATGCTGCCTAGAAACCTGCACTTGAGTCTAGCAGTGAAGAGGCAGGTCATTGAACCCCCAGCAAGATCAGGCTCCATGAAACCAGGTAGACCTTACTTTGTGTCTTAGCTCAGGTTGCTATAACAAAATGCCATAGACTAGCGGCTTAAACAACAGATATTTATTTCTCACAGTTCTGGAGGCTGGGAAGTCTAAGGTCATGATGCTGGCAGATTCAGTTCCTGGTGAGGGCTCTTTTACTGCCTTGCAGACAGCTGCCTTCTTGCTGTGTGCTCACATGACCTTCCCCTGGTGCTTGAGCACAAGAGAGGGAAAGCTCTGTTTCTCTTCCTTTTCTTATAAGGACACTGATCCCATCATGAGGACCCCACTCTCATGACCTCATCTAAATCAAATCACCTCCCAAAGGCCCACCTCCTAATTCCACTACATTGGGGGTTAGGGCCTCAATGAATTTTGGAGGGGCACAAACATTCAGCCCACAACAGCTTAAGTACTTTTAAAATTCAGCACTGTTTTGAAGATTTATTCATATTGTTATGTATATGTCTAATTCTGTGGGTCCCAAACTGTGCACCAAATTGCTCTGGGAAGCTGCAGGGAACCCATAGGAGTGCTGTGGGATATTTTTCTTTTTCTAGGGAAACACAGTGATACTTATCTGTCAGGTACCATGTGAACTACTAACTTGAGGTAGTTCACAGTTCCAGCATTAGACTGTGCTATATTCCTTTGTATAACATCATATCTTGGTGAAGCTGTATTTTTAGCAGTTGCAGTAACAAGCAAGTACTGCGTGAAAATCAAGGTGAAACAGAAAATAAGGGTGTGGCACCCAAACCAATCCCAATATTTGAGAGGTTGCACAGTGCCCAGTGGTCATACACATCTCCTTAGTCAATAATTCTGGTTATTTAATAATGAAATGAAGTAATCTTTTCTCCTTCGACTTATGTGTATTATTTTCTTCAAAAGGTACTAAATTGTTAGGACATATATATGTACTAAGCTCTTTGGACCTAACTACTTAATAACAGAACAGAACAGATTGACTAACCAGAACCGTTAGCCATTTCTTTTGGCCAAGGAGCAACGTGTAAAAATATGTTGAGACTCTAATGGTGCCACGAAGTGAGAACATTTGGGAACCCCTGATCTAGCTGACTATATTCGATAGTGAGCCAACACCACATTTTATTATCCAGGGCCCCAGTGAGTGACACCTGGGCGGATTCTAGTTCAACACAAACAGCACTACACAGAATGTCCTGCTCCATGGGCTTTATATCTGAGAGTAGGATTTATACAACACGTGCCGCATGCATAACCAATTTGACCAAAGAGTGCTGGATTGTTCCTAAGGATGGCTGTGCTAGTTGATGCTCCCCCCTGGAATGCATGCGGGTACCACTATCCCCACATCCTATATTTAGTACTTGGCATTTCCATCCTTCTAATTTTTTACCAGTCTAGTAGGTTAGGAGTGATTTGCATTTCTCTCCATACTGATGAATTCAAGCCTCTCTTCATATATACTCATTAGCCATTTGGAATTTGTCACTCAGTGAATACCCTGCTTATATCCTTTGCCCCTTTTTCAGTTGAGTATGTTTGTCTTTTTCTTGTGGATTTGCTGTCCTTTCGTATATTTCAAAACGTAAGTCCCCGTGGGTTTTAGATGTTGCAAATATCTTCTCCCAATATGTCATCTATCTACTAAATTTGTCTATCTTGCCTTTTGTTGACTGGAAATCTCTAATTTGAATATAACAAAATCCATTAATTTTTTTGCCTTATTGTCTAAGCTACTTGATTTTGTTTAAGAAGTTTTTCTCTACCCTTGGGCTATAAAGATATGTTGCTGCATTTTCTACAAAGATATTAGCCTACACTTTTTTCTATTAGCAAGGTCTTTGATTTTTGAATCACTGAGTTTTCTGTGATTCTAGGTGTTTCTCAGCTTAATAAATTGCATCATAACAAAAGTCAGTGAAAACTAATCCATCTGAGAGTAAGCATTAGACGTAAGCTTTTCAAAGAAAGAAAAAACCTTTTATTTAGTGAATATAATAATGAAACTCACTGTAAAATAAGAAAACAGAGACAAACATAAATCCAATTCTTTTATTCTGGTCTCCAGTGAAACACCAGAAGAAAAACTCTTTATTCCTAGAAGTTCTCAGCCACACGTGACATGGATTTTTCTCAAAGTATAACTTTATCTTTGCAAAAATCCTTAAGAAAATGTGCTTTTTTCATAGATGCACTATTTTAAAATTCCAATATGTTTTACTCTGTTAATGTAAAAATAGTAGACTAGTTGTTTTTATGCACACATCCCTAAATCCGTGTTCATTAGTATTGATAACTACTGAAACCATCCAGGCTTATATATATATTTTCTGAATGAGTGATTTTAAAAATGAAAAGTTGGGAGCATATTAGTATCTTTAATTCCTATCTCTTCTACTTCCAAAACAAAGATAACATTTCTGAATTAAAAACAATCAGAAATTAGGTAATGAAATAGGCAAATCAATTATAATTCAGATTCACTAATTTATTGTATGCATCTGAAATTTTATAACACATACATGTAGAAGATTTCATACTGGGATATGTTAGAAATTAAATATTTCTTCTGTCTATCTCAGAGGTAGTTAAATTTTTTGTAAGATCAGTGGGAAGGGGTAACGAGTGAAAATAAATGTTTTAAACTA